GAGAGAGAGAGAGAGAGAGAGAGAGAGAGAGAGAGAGAGAGAGAGAGAGAGTGAGGGAGCAGACAGAATGAAAGAGACAGAAGAGGAACACACAGATAAACTCATCAGATCGTCTCATTCCGCAATCATTTTAAAAGTTTGTGTATATTGACGAAGGTTCTCATCACGCAGTAAAAGTAGGGCCATATTCTTTACCTGCCTTGCCTGCTATCCAGGCAGGGACGAACATAGACTCATCTGCCCATCCATCCATCCATCCATCCATCCATCCTCTCCTCCCCTCCCCTCAGACAGACAGACAGACAGACAGACAGACAGACAGACAGACAGAGACAGACAGAGACAGAGACAGACAGAGACGGACGGATGGACGGACGGACGAACGGACTGACGGACCAACGATAGTAACAAGGACACTGTAAGTGATAATCCAGGCCTTAACAAGGATTCTACTACTCTGCAATTTTCTTCCCTCAACCTGCAGTGCGCCTGAAATGAGAATTAAAAATTATCAAAAATGGGGTACTCTACTACTCACAATTTTGGGCACCCCCGCGGTACCCCCCTCGCTTCCGGGAGGCTGAGCCTTCCATTTGGGGGCGTGTAACGGCCGCGATTTTTTGGAGACCGGGGGTCACTACTGGTGGTTTAAGATTTAGAGTAGTTCACATTAAAAAAGAGAGAGTGTTTTAACTGTCACTTGCATACGAAAGAGCACAACTAGAGACACCGGTTAGCAGGCCCATAGAGCTTGTAGGCTCAATCGACTGGAATGATCATCATCCATCGGTTGGTCAGTCCTCCTTGCCCAAATGTCAAACGGATCACTTAGGGGTGCATCTTCGCAAGCCTTCCTTTTTTTCCCCTTTAATTACACCAGGCATACTCACACCGTCATCAAAGCACTAGTGCGCGTCCATACCCCTACAAAGTCAGATTGAGAACTTGGCAACCCCCTTTGGTCAACCCCCTTTGGTCAACCCCCTTTGGTCAACCCCCTTTGGTCAAACCCCTTTGGTCAAACCCCTTTGGTCAACCCCCTTTGGTCAACCCCCTTTGCCATTTTTTTCCCTGGTTGCTAGAGTGAGCCGCCGCCTACCGAAAGTGAGCCGCCTCCGACCATCTTTTCCCGGACACAACACACCCTGGTTATGAGAATTTCTTTTGTGACAGTATTGAACCCAAAGAAAAACTTGTACACATTTATGACTACGGTGTGTTTGTTCCGGAGAAGATGGTAGGCATCAATCCTGTGCAAGCTCACTGGATAGGATGTCTCCATCAATTGACCGTTGACAGGGTTGTCAGGCAAGGACCACCACACAAAATCTGGGGCCGGGGAGCTGGAACCCTGCAACCCCACGGAGGGCGGAGGACACCTGCATGGCGGCAGGGTCCAAGTTTCAGTCTTTTTTCACGAATTGCTCTGAATGTTCCTTGCGGTCACAAAAAAAAAGTAATCACTTAGAATTTAGAAACGGTGGGTTAGAAGTTCGGGGGAAGGCAAAAGAAATGGGAAACACCCCCCCGTCGAGGACCACGACCCCCGCCATGTCCTCGTCCCCTGCCCCAGTTCCTCTCCCCACCCCTGCCCCCATTCTGCACCCACCCCTGCCCCCTTTACTCCTCCGCCCACACCCCACACTCCTCCACCCGCACCCCCACCCCCATGCGCCCCGAACCCTGCCCCCGCTCCCCACGCACCACCGGCCACGTGTGTGCCCCTGCTCCCGCTGACCTGGGGCGACAACAGGCTTGTGTCCCCAGAGGAGCGGGGTGCGGTCCCGTTTTTGCAGCAATGGGGCAAAGTGCCCGCTGGGGGGCCATTGATGCTGCACACCCCGCCCCCCTTTTTCTTGTTTTTTGAACTTTTTTCTCCATTTCTTTTATAACTTTGCCTCCCCCACCCAACCCCCTGGGTTAGGGGTCCCACACCCAGGACCGTAGACCCTCAGCATGGATCCAGGTTCTGGGGGTCAACAACCCTGGCAATTTGTTGTTGTTGCCAACGATTAGATAACATCGCTTTGTGTGTTATCAGCAATCAGACAGATCAACGAGCTCCGTTTCAGAATCCAAGTCTAGGCCCACACAGAGTGTGTGACCTGAAGTTCGTGGAGTAGGGGAGAATGGGGAGAATGGGGTTACCGAGCCCAATGTTCTCAGAAGAGCATCCAAAAGGTATAAGCTCATCCCTTGAGCTACCAGCAGCGCCTCTCCTGCATGCCAAAAAAGAAAAAAAAAATCGAAGAAACAAACATCACAAGCCTGGTCATTGAATTCCAGGACTCCTCGTGAAGTAGGCGGGCGAGGTAGCCCCACTTTCTCCCGTTTTTGAGCCGCTCACACCCAACAACCAACCCATCTTCCCAACAAGATCGGAATACTCTCACCAACAGCAACAGAGACGAGAATATGTGTGTGGTTGTGCAGTGCAGGCTGCATGGAGCGAAGACTCCGAAGAGAGGAAAAAGAGTGAGAAAGACTCAGACAGGTGAAAACAAGAAGGGACTCAAGGTTCTTGCAGAATAAGCATATAGCATACAAATTTAATGCTGGCATTGCTGGGACAAAAAAACAAAAAACAGAAAAAAAAACAGAAGAGTAGCCTCCCTCCAACCTCCGGGCTGACTCCTTATTAAACCACCACTACCTTTCTCACTAGGCGCCAAGTCGCAAAAGTAACCTACTCCGAAAAAATCGGCATTAGGAGGCCGCAGATATTTTTCATCAGGGGCTCCCGGCCTCCAAAGTCGAATTTCAAGGCCCGCCACCTGGAATTGAACTTGGAGTTGTCGTTCCAAAAAACGTGTTTGGACTCTTTGGAGGCAACGATGATGGCGCCTGTGATTGTAAAAAATATATGGGCGTGATGATGAACAGGGCCAACAGGCTAATTTTTTCGGAAGGAGCCCCAAGCATTGGCAAGCAAGCAATTTTCTGTACTCTACCCCTTCATTTTCTGGATAAATTCACCAAAGGGATCAGGATCCAAACCTTCAGAGTCCAAAATAGACTGAAAAGTTGTGAAAACCATGCAATCAGAGAAAAAAAAAAGTTAAAAAAAAAAACACAAGTGGTTAAGTGGGACCCCCACTTTCAGCTCCTGACTAACGGGTCCAAAACTGACATTAGGGTTTAGACTCTAGAGGTCAATATTAAATATTTTATGTTTTTTTAACTTTTTTTTGGTTGTTTTTCTTTGTTGTTGTTTGTTTTGCCTGTTTTTGGTTTGGTTCAAGGCATTGCTGTGTGCCAGATTTCGTATCGTTTGGAGAATTGGAATTTACACACAAGTTGCTGAGATTTCTGAAACTTCTCAAGATTTCTGCAATTTGGAATGTTGGCGAAATTTCATGAAAGTGCGCTTTTGCCTTGCTGTTTTATAGGGTTGAAGAAGAAAGGTGCAATCAGACTCGTTTTCAAACACACTTTTCACCATGTAAACAGTAACGCAGCACACTGGCGACATGCGCCCACTCAAAACTCAGAGATATGGCTTTCAGATACGAGTTCACTCTCAATTGGCTATGGCGACTTCAGCGCCCAAACATCTCACTGTTCACATACACTG